ATTACTATGGCAAGGGGAGTCAGATAGGGCTTGGTGTTCATATCAGACTTACAAGTAAGAAATTACAACTTACAAGACTGGCATTACTATGGCAAGGGGTGTCAGATAGGGCTTGGTGTTCATATCAGACTTACAAGTAAGAAATTACAACTTACAAGACTGGCATTACTATGGCAAGGGGAGTCAGATAGGGCTTGGTGTTCATATCAGACTTACAAGGCATGTGGTTTTCCCATGTGGAGCTTATTCCTGATGTATATGTACATGGATTGTCGCAACTCTTAACAGATGAGATGCTTGTACATCGCAGTGTACCCTCTCATTTTTTGCACACCTCAATCCCTCCCATACCCTGACATTCTCCCCCATACCCTAACATTCCCACTATACCCTGACATTTCCCCCATACCCCGACATTTCCCCCATACCCCAACATTCTCACTATACCCTGACATTTCCCCCATACCCTGACATTCCCCCTGTACCCTGACATTTCCCCCATACCTTGAAATTCCTTCCATACCCTGACATTCCTTCCAGAACCTTTTTGCCCCATACCCAGACATTCCCACTATACCCTGACATTTCACCCATACCCTGACATTCCCCCTGTACCCTGGCATTCCCCTCATACCTTGACATTCCCTCCATACCCTGACATTCCCTCCATATCCTGACATTTTCCCCATACCCTGACATTCCCACTATACCCTGACATTTCCCCCATACCCTGACATTCCCTCCATATCCTGACATTTCCCCCATACCCTGACATTCCCCCCATACCCTGACATTTCCTCATACCCTGACATTCCCTCTATACCCTGACATTCCCCCATACCCCAACAAAATTTTCCCCATACCTTGACATTTTCCCCTTAAAAAATGTCTTGTCTTGTCTCCATGTCCTGACATTCCCCCTTTGCCTTGACATTCCCCCCATACCCAGACATTCCCTCTATACCCTGACATTCCCCCATACCCTGATATTTTTCATACACCATGACATTCCCCCTATACCCTGAAATTCCTCCTATATTTCCCCTATACCTTGACATTCCCTCATACCCTGACATCCCCCCCCCATACCCTGACATTTCCCCTCCCATACCCTGACATTTCCCCCATACTTTATGCTTACCGTTTCGTTTTTTGGGCTCTCTAAGTGTTCTCCCTAAAGCCCCTCCCTTCCCCCTTCCACCTAAGTTAGCCTTGCATCACCTTGTGTGTCTTACTGTGATATCAGACCTTACTTTTTGTGCAACTTCTTTGACTGCTCTAGGGATACTGGCAACCAATGAGAACTCATTATCTACAGCCCTCACTCCAATTGGTAGCTCAGTCAACCCATTCTTTCTGGTGGGTGTTGGTATTATGGCCAGTCCCAGTTTCATGCGTGTAGTAGAGTGTGAATGTGATGACAGCGAGTTTACATCTCGGCACAGTCTGGATGGAAAGTTCCTTTTTGTCGATCCGCGGTAAGGAGTAAAAAATACTTCAGATCTATCCTGAAGTGGGCTAGCTGGATAAAAACTTTTCTCTGAGGATTAAAACTGAGTTAATTTTTGCAAGTTTTTACTTGTAAATTCCTTTTTTGGAAATATGTGCTTTTGTATACGCACGAGTGACATGGAACTTGATGATAGGGTTTCATTATTTTGTCTATTTACTTTGCCATCTGTTTTTAAATGAAATGATTATAAAAGCGATTACAAAGCTGTGGTCTAACAGTGCCCGGTGGCCCTTGGCGCCTTACTTTTGCTCTTGGGCGACTCAGGAATTTTAGTTTTTTCATAAAAAGCATATGCTGGGCACCCTGGATTTCACAGTTGCAGTGTATTTGTGAGGTGCTGTTGTAAAGTTTTGTATCAATCAGAGAGTGCTGTATTCTTTTCCAAATACAATTGGTTGAACAGATCAGATGGGAGAGCAGTTCTCTTATTTTCTTTTCTGGTTGTGTTTAAGATCAATCTCCATCACGGGTTATATGCCATTCGAAGTCCTCGGCACGTCAGTGTATGACTACATTCACGAAGATGATTTGACAGTTTACGCTAAAGCACACGAAGCACGTAAGTGAAATAACAAAATCATAAAATAACCCTGTCCCTCCCAAGATCTCAGTAGTGATTCTCTTTACTGTCTGCTATACAATTCTGATGATGTTAGTGTGGAGAATTTGGTATTGAATCAATCAATAACCCTCAAATAGATATTTTTGTTTATTCTCAGCGCTTGTCTGCTCGATATTGTTTTGATGTTGTAAGGAAAAATTCTGCCTTGGTCTCTTATGGAAGTGAAAAGTTTTAAAAGCTCCAAGCTCACTTTTTAAATTGTCTTTGTTGTCGTTTTAGTCATGGAATACGGTGAAGGAAAGACTGGCTTTTACCGCATTTTGAGCAAAGGTTACCAATGGATATGGGCGGCAACAAGGAGTTATATTTCCTTCAATCATTGGAATTCCAAACCTGAAATATACTGCAGTAATACGACAGTAATTAGGTTGGTAAAGTAAAAAATAGCTAGTTCAGATGGTGAAATTAGCGTATCAGAAAATTAGGTTAGTGTTCACATTGTGCGCAACAGATATCTGGGTTAGAGGGCAAAAGACCATGCCGCTGCCTTACTAGGAGCGTTTAAATTGAGTAACCCGTGCTTGGTGTTAAGTGCGGGAAGCTCGCAAAGGTAACTAACTTACGGAAGCATGCGACTGTAACATTTTCCATTCTCTCAGTCAGTGTAGGCAAGCGAAAGAGGGGCAGGTAGCAATTGTATTGTACGGACTACGCTCGAGAAACATGATGCGCAGTAGGCTGGAAAATATGCGCCACTCGCAAAGACCTTCGCACAACTGGTACCGCCTCTGCACAGACGGCAGAAAATTTAACATTTGGCGGTACTCAGTAAACGATATGACTGAATTCAAAACTGCAAAGTATTTATTGTAAAATTATGTTTTATTCACAGCGCCGCAGAGGGTGAAAAGTCACTAAGGGTCAGAGAAAAAGAGTTGGAAATTCTAAAAGCGAGTCAGGAAAGTCACCAGTCGCGATTCTCTCAGTATAAAGCGCCTTTGAAGTGTAACAGCCCTCATGAAGCCAATGCATTGGTTCTGGCCAAGTGGGCAGCTGATGAGTTGAACTTACCGTCCCTGCCGTCAGAACAAACTGATGACGGGGATAACCCCGGCGGGGATCAGAATGCAAGGGGAACGAACAAGAATGGTAGGTGTTTGAATTTTGGCTTTCTTCGCATACGACACCTGAAAGTGAGTGGGCAAGATTGTTATTCCAGTTATCATCAAGGTAGAAGGGAGGTCACGCAAGAGATTCGTGACACCTATCAGTTTCTGGGTCGTCTTCGTCTAATTGGCTGGCATGCTGTCACGTTTTGTGACATTTAGTGGCCTACTGTCGAGTTCTCTGACAAACTACCAAGTTCTGTGACATACTACATGTCCATAGCTAATAGAAGTTAACTGGTTAGTGAAGCCTAAAATTTTTTTGTTTCATGTTTTAATGGTATATTTTGGACCAGAACGTGCACAACTTTCCCGGCTGGCACTCCAATCAGTTTGAACAGACTGACCAGAAGAAACTGTTTTTTAAAATATTCGGTCATAATGCGTACACGTGAGAACAGAAGATTATGTACGGTCAGTGAGCTCCCATCGTAACCTGTCAACGTCAGTATGCATAGTCTCCATACTTCTCTCTATAGATTTCATAAAGTGTTGACAAGGGGAATTTGAGAAACAATCAAGAGCTTCTTCAGTTGGTGATCATTTCCTTTATTCTCCTGACCTTTATGTGTGATTCAGGGGGGATATGGTGAGGAGAAATTGGATGTTGGTCAGATGTTGGTCACTCTTAGGAGTCAAAGGGTTAGCAACTGTTACTCAATTCTACAAAAAATGGTGTTTCAAACATGTACAGGAGCAGGACACATTTACCAGTACTTATGTAATGTATCATGTTATTATTTTATTATTATTTTTCTTTTCCTGTCTTCAGATGGAACCCAGTCTGGTGGCGTGGAGGACAGGAGGTTTGGGGCTGAATCACAAGCTAGTGATAGCGAAACCGACACGAGGGATGGGGGAGATTTGGACCAAGACTCGTTTGTACGTTTTCATTCTTTTCCTTATTTTTGATTTGATATATATTTTTTTTGGTTGTTTTCGTACCTCAGTGTCGTGTCGTTCACACTTGGCTCATGCGTCATGAAGATACACCTGATGTGTGAAGTTATTGTTTAGTAGCATTTTCAACGCAGTAGTCTGATGGAAATGGTTCACAATAGAACAAGATGAGGTGAAATAATTCTCATTTTATTGAGATTTTTTCTGGGCAGTCTGCTTGCCTATTCCACGCAAACAAGGTAATCCGGTCTTAATTTTTGACAGTTACTTAACGCCATGTTGGTGCCTAAGTGACAATTGGCTCCCGTGATTCCTCTGATCTCTGTAGGACTGGTTCTCCCCTTAACTTTTGACAATCACCTTAACGCCAAGTTGGTGCCCATGGGGATAATGGGTACCCGTGGGGATAATGGGTACCCGTGGGGTTAATGGGTACCCGTGGGGATAATGGGTACCCGTGGGGATAATGGGTACCCGTGGGGATAATGGGTACCCGTGGTTCCTCTGATCTCTGTAGGACTGGTTATCCTGTGGCCTCGGGAATTTTCTCGATATCTTGGATTAATATTTTTTTCATTTAAAAATGTAACGGAAGTAATTTATTTACAGGATCTTCCTTCAACTGTTGAAGAACTTGAGAGCTTCCGAGAGGCTCAGCGCCTTCTTCAAAATCAACTTTTGGAGAAGCACTCCTTGTTATTGAAAGCTGTGGCTCGACAGAAACAACAGCTACAAGAAATCCAGCAGCACATGATTCTTAACCTTCAGTCGCAGCTGTTTGTAGATCCAGTCAAACTGCAAGAAACGTGTTCCGGTTACTTTGAAAGGAACAAGGACTTGTCCGAAAGGCACGAAGTGCAGGAGCAAGCGCTTGAATCTATCAGTCGGAAGCTTGAATCGCAGATGCAGACAGCTGAACGCAGATATCAGCGCCATTTTAAAGTGTTAATGGAGAAGAAAGCCGAGGAGCAACAGATGGCGGCCGAGCAAAGCATTCCTCAAAGTTCAGAAACTTTTATAGACACCGCTGTTTCGTTAGGGGGGCAACAGCAGGCCCAGCTTGAGAATGAAGACATTGTTGTTGAGGAGATGGACCCGTTGAACTCAAGACAACGACGTGAGTTGCAACGGGAGCAAACTTCATCTCCGCTTCAGTTGTTGCCAATGGACAATCAGATCGATCTACAACAGCAAGCTCACATTGAAGATGTGCAAAGCAACGCAGCCATGTTAAAGCGCAGAATGACCAGCCCCTTGAATCAGAGGGATCAAAAGGTCATGCGCGTAGACTCAAACTCGAAACAAATGTGGCTGCAATCGTTACCATCAAGCGCGCGACCCGAGCTGCAACAGCCACAAGCTATTGTCGCAGCGTCAAGACCTTGGCAGCCCAGCACTGCTGGTCAAGCAGTGACAAATCAAGGGTTTGTCCAGTCAATACCTGGCGTTAGTAACCGTGGATCAGTTACTGTTACGACCAACGTTACTTCTGCTCCTTTGCCAGTGCCACGACAGGTCGGTATACAACCGAACCAGTCCCCGCACGGCCAACAGAGTGTCCAGTCCCAGCCATCTAGTCACACGCCTGGTGCTCCTGTGTCGGCCCAGGCCGTTTTGCAGCATTTCTCTACATCGTCACAATTAAACACTCCATCGCATATGAATGGAGGGATTGTGGCCATGTTAGGACAAAGCGTAGGAGCTTTCCAAGGGTCAAGCGGCGAAACCGGTGTAGGATTTCCTGCGCCGCAAATTGCAACGGCTTCGGCTAATGCCCTTCAACAACAGCAGTCGCAACAAAACTCTCAAATGGACGCATCTATTGTTCAAACTGTGGAGCAATTATTGACGAACTCTACTCAAAACCAGCAGATAATGCAGGTGTTATTGACTGTGCTCTCGGCACTTCAGGGTCAGCCGCAAGTTGCGGCGTCACTGATAACATTGCTGAAGCAGATCCAAGATGGTCAGCAACAAGGACAGGGTGAAGTTCCCTCTGCTGTTCAGCCAGCTGCCCCTCAGTTCCCTGTTGGCTTGGGAACTCAGGGACAAACTACCTCACAGCTTTGCACAACTGCACCACCACCACCTCTGTACTCTTACAATAATGAGGTAACTTATCAACAGCAGCAGCCTACACCACCCTCGATGCTGCCCAATCAGCGAAGGATTCCTCAGCAGCCGCCAAGATCGCGACCGACCGTTCCGCTGCAACATCCTCGGCAGGACGCGACAGGTTTAGGTATGACCCGTGTGAGCTCCACAACCACAAGTTACAGCATCGCTCTACAACAACAGCAACAACAACAACAACAACAACAACAACAACAACAACTACAACAACAGCGTCAACAACAACAACAGCATCAACAACAGCAGCAGCAGCAGCAGCAGCAACGGCAAATCGGTAGGAATTCGTCTATGAACAACTTAGGACCGTCTCAAATTTCTTCGTCAGCGAACACGTCCTCGATGAATTTTATGCCCTATGAGAACATGGCCTCCACTTCAACTGGTGTGACGTCCGTGACAGCGATCCGTGATTTTGACTTGTTGGAGAAAAAGAAAACTTCAAAGTCAAAAGGAGATTATTTCTCGAACTTTTCGTCGGATGAATTGCGCGCCATGTTGATGGATGCTCCCGGAGCAATGTCCAACAATGAAAGCGCAACAAACATGGCTGTTGATAAGCAGGAAAAGAAACTGGAGGACGAGGAACTACTATATAATCCACTGCTTACGCAGCAACAGCAGCTTTTACAGTTACACCAGGTTCGTTTGTTTGTCTCTTGATTCATTCGTTCCTTCGTTCTTTATTTCTGTAGACAATCGGTATAGATTGTAACTCCCTCGAACAAGCTCTGTGCACTTTCTTTTTACTGTGCCATGAAATTTGGCCTCCCGTAGACAGGTCATGAGAATGAAAAAATCTTTTTTCTGAATGACTGAAAACCAAATTCTCAAAATGAACAAGAAACAAACTGCATGATACACATTAAAGTGAGAAGTAATAGTGTTACTGTCTGATTTTGGGCGACTTCTAGGAACAAAGGCGTCAACTTCTTCTCCAGCAGCAAGAGCAACGATTACTGATGTTCGAGGAGCAGAAACGGAGAGAGGAAGCCGGCCAACAGCAAGGAGCAACTTCGCCTACCACATCTAACTTCAGTTCGAGTGGGCTCCGCGCTATGCTGTCAGATGATCCGCAGGAGGGAAGTTCACGACAAATAGGCAAGTATCTTAAGCACTGCACTCATCATCACATGGTAAACGAAAGCTTGGAAGATGACTGCTCGCTTGTGCTCATGTTAAACAGGAGAATCTTCACAAAGACTCTTCAGGGATGTAGGCAGGACTCTCCTGCCAGGGGAGGGGAAAGGGTAATGGGAGGAAAGGAGACAATGAATAGCATCTTTTTACTAGCTTTGGGTGCATTACAGATTGTTGTATGACAACTATCACAGTTTAGAGCAAAGCAGCGATGTATGACGTCAAGTCACTTAACGTAACGTAACGGAAAACAACGTAACTTAACGCAACGTATCGCTTGGTAACGTAACATAAACTAAATTTAAAGTAACGTTACATCATCTAAAGTGACCTAATTTTACTTGAACAAACGTAGAGACCTAACATATCGTAAGCTCTCGTTAACTTAATGCAACGTAACGTAACGTAGCTTAACTTAATCTTACGAAACCTTTGGTAAAACCTTTCATTGAAATGTTTCATATTCATTTGTTGATTTGTTGTTACTCATTAGCAGGTGACCAGAACGTTCAGGATGGTGGACCATCATTTTCAGGTTGGTCTGAAACAAATTACAGTTTAGGCGAAGCTGATGAACAAGTTCTGGGCTTATTACTGGCCGAGTCAGCTTTCGATCCACTGTTAGACAATATAGACTGGGGAGACGACTCTTACACTGGGGAAATTAACTTAAATCCTGATTAGAACTGGCTTTAAGTTTATCAAGGATGACTGGAAAGTGAACGCTGTGAATTATGGGCCGTGTCAGCGAGCGAAGCAGAGGAGGAGACTGAAGGAGACTCCATACACTATGAATCACCGAGTAAAAAGTTTTAGTTTTATCTTAGAGACGTTTTAAATATAATACGCAGATTTTACTTAAACAAGTAAAGATAGGATTACTGTTCAGAACAACTCAGAAATTGAATTGAGTGTTTAATTTAGTCGAGTCCTTTATAGTTGGTCACACGTGTCTTTAAATTTGTGTATCGTAGTATTGGAGGTCAGTGTGTTTGTTTGCCTAAATTTTCCTTCATTTTGGTCTTCTTGGCCCACTTTAACGTGTGAAGTTTGGAGCTGCCATGCTTCATTACTTCTCTGTTCCAAATTCGTGAATTAGGTATCTCTTGTGTTTACCTGATGAATTTATTTCACTGTTGCCCTAAATTGAGTGTTCATATGAGGGTATTGTTGGAAAGGAATGAATTTTACGATTATGATTTCTTCAACTGGAGCGAGAGACATGAACCGAAAGAGAAAGTTTTTGATCAAAGAAACGGTTTGTCTCGGCCAAAAAAAATTCTCTACCGCGGTAATAACACTCCTCAAGGTTGTTATTACTTCGGATATTACAGGAGTTTTTTTCCAGGACTACCTTCATTTAGGCGATCGCATTTTACAAAAAGATTGCAACCGTTTACCATGTATTGAACCACGTAAGCTTAGATTAAGGGACGCCGGAGTAGATATATTTAGCTCTGGATTCTTACGCAACATTAGTTAAGCCAATGTGTCTTTTAAACAGTAGCCATTTTTCTCTGTACAAGAAAATTCGAATTTGTAAACGGCCAATTACGGACTTCATACCGGGATCCAGATATCAAATATCGTTTATCCCCTATACTCTTTCCCTCATTGGCTGATATTTATCACGTCATTTGTTGTACTCAGAGGGCATTTGTTCACTAATTTCGAGGTCAGTTAACCTGTCATTCTTTTCGCTGCACGTGATTAATTTTTACCAGTGAGGAACAAGAAATACTATGGAGGTTTGAAACTTCTTCAGCCTGAGATTTTGCCCATCAAATACTCAACTGACACTGTCATTCTGCTTTCGAGACAGTCTCCTATACAGATGAACATACTTACACTTCAATTGCTTCCTACGGGAGCTCCTCTCTCTCATTTAATCTGATTAACAGAATTTCCCCCTCGCACTTCTCGTGCATCCTCGATACTAAAAGAGAAATTATAAAATGTAATGCTTTACTTTTTTTTAAACGACAAGCGAGGTAACGAGTGGATTAACAAACTGTACTCCCCAAGTAAATTATTTGAATTGGTACCTTGATACTGGCTTCTTTAATTTTTAAAAATAAAGACTCTTTAAAGAGACGAATGCTAATGATTTATTTTTCTGCACACTCAACTTGCATTCGGTTAAAGCATGGTTTGAAGAAGGCACCAGGAATGTATTTGGAAAGAAAATGAAGTTAAAAGCAAGAGAGGATCGAAAAAAGGCTGTGCAAACGTGCTTATAACACAAGCAGAAGGCAGCGATGAAAATCTACAAACTTTATCTTACTTCCATGCTCTTGCGAACTTGCGCGAGCGACAGCAAGGTCTTAACAAGATCGGCCTTAGCATATACAGGAACAGGAATGACCGGAAGTGAACGGGTGAGCGGAAGGGATCAGATCAGCGCAAGCATGTGACTGCCATGCATCCCTGTGCTTGCTTGGGACAACTAGCCAACCATAACTTGAAAAATGCTTTGAAGCTCGATAAAAATAGGCAGGCCCATGATATTTAGATTGCAGCAGGGTAGTTGGCTGGTCACCCATTGTTTGATCACACTTCGGAACTTTTCAGTTTTCTGGAACGAAACCAGGTTAATTTTTACAACGTTCTGTACATACCACGCAGTGATGATTGGTGCTTCGATCTCGATAATTTCTAAAAGCACGTATATGTTGACTTACTAGAAAAGAACGCAAAGTTTTAAAATTTTTAGTCCCTTTAAGGTTCTTTGTAAGACTAATGAAGCTCCTCATATGATTCCTTGTTTAAATACACGCCTCGCTGTAAAGCAGTCAGTACTGGACCACTCTCGAACGAGCTTTCACTCCATGAAATGCTGTATCCTGTTCTAATCATTCAGAAAGGTTGATCGAGTGGAAGATATCGAACACGCGACTTTGCATGCTTTTTCCAGGGGTCTAGGAAAGCAGGGTGGAGTAGGCTGAGGGTACGTCTGATCCCCTCGCGCTTTTTCAACAAAAATCCATTCTTTCTGATGACAAAACTCAACTTGGCAAGCCCCCAAGCGTCTGCACGACTCAAGTTGAAAATCTTAGCACAGTCCTTGCCAAGGACAAGTTGCCATTGTTCAAATATTAGCTAACATTAGGCCAAAGTTCCGGCCGTTCATGCGGATTTGAGGAGAGATTGATCTCTGCTGTTACTTATGGCTTCCGTTGGTTCAGAACCACGCAAAGAACTTAGAAAGGTATCTGGCTCTTACCGATTACAAACCCTGATCGAGCTCGAGAATTATAGAGAGAAAACTGCCTTGGAATATAATGAATCTGTGCGAAGATAAGAGGCGCAGATTTTTTTTCCCTTGAAATGAAGGGACACGTGATCATGATTATTCGTTCAAATTGTCCAAAAACGTATTTCAAAGCCACCGTAGTAGAAAATCCTTCAAAAAATATGTGCTCTTTTTTTTTTTTCCTAAGGGGAGGATCGGAAGTGGTGTATTGTCCAGTCCCGACAAGGTGTGAATTTCTCGGATTAAATTGGTACTTGAAAGTCTTGCCTAAACGCGCTTTATAAAACAAACGAAAAGACAGAATTTGAAACCATTCCCAGCAGGGATTCTTTAAGACCATCGCGGGAACACGAAACAACAGTTTGGCAACAGTTAGAAAACTAGAATTGAGCTATATTAGCTTAACAGTTTATAGCATCAATCGGTGCTTTTTCACAGTAATTGAATCTATGGAGATTCTTAGGGCTCAAGCTTTGCTGAATATAAGATCAAGAAAACATTTGATTCTTCTCACGGGTATTTTGTTACATGGTATTTTATACCTGCCGCCCTCGATGAAATAACACTGATCACTGTTGTGAATATCCCGCTCTGCTGGAAAGACAAACAAAAACATTGATAACTTATCTCATCATTGATTTCTTGTTTGCTTATTTAGCCTACACTGATCACTTGATGTGAGTCATGAGACTCGTTCTCTTATCTTGGATACCGTTCAGAGGCAGTATTCATTTCTTCCACTTAAAACTGTCAGTTAAGCTCCGGTTAAGGTGAAGTTCTTAATTCGACAAAACAGGATTTGGATGTATTGCTCGGCGTAGTGCTGCAGACAATATTGTCTTATGCAGCTGAACTTAGGGTCAAACCACAACATAAATTCCTGTACTATCGTTGCCGGCTTTCCTTTTTGCGGCCAACATTAAGATAGGTCTCGACAAATACATTCTAATCTTTTACATTAACACATCTCCCGCTTCTACGAGCCACAATGATCAGTTTCTCAATGCGTGTACTTGCATGCATAAGCCGTGCGCTTCATGAAAGGCAAAAGTACCTATGCTTCACATGAAACACTCTGATAATAAAGTCATTATAAAAACAAATTTTTCAAAATGAACCATCCGAGAGCAATCGATTTAGATCGGATATCAAAGAAAGTTGTTGTTCATCAGCGATTGTTATACTGACGAGCGCTGGAGAGGTCGTAAATATGATTAAGAGTACTAGAGTTTTTGGTTTTTCAATTGTTTTGTGGTACACAAAGAAAAGCCAGAGTTAGGAAAAGCTAACCGATAAACCATTCGCCTGATTTAAGGGTGCGGTCCGTCGCCACATGCATATTTTCTCAAATAAATGTATCATCACTGACAGTGGTATATTTCTGGCAAAACGAAAATTTGTCTTGGTCAAGGTTTAAATAGAATCTTCAAGCGGACTATCTGATATATCATTCCCTATTTTTTCACTGCGATATTTTTTCTTTGCGAGATATTTGACCTGTCTACGGAACCACGGCTGGTATCAAGTGACTGTTGACTTTTTCCCACTTTTTTTTTAAAACTCGGGTGAAAGACTCTTACGGCATTCTTAAAAAGTTGGCAAAGCTGACTTAAAGGAGTGTCGGTAGCCATTATATCGCTTTCATGCATTCTGGATCCCACAAAGAGATCACGTTTACAACCCATGCAAAAGTGACAGTGACTTCCCGTTGAAACTGAGGTAGCCTCGACTTTGGTTGGAGCAACAAGGTGGTAGGGACTCCGGTAGGTGCAGTAGCTGCTAAATATTTTTCTATTCTGGAGATTTATGACGATTTTTGTTTGATTCAGCAGACCTGTAACTCGTGTTGGAGCGCAGTTTTGTTTTTTATGCATTCTGTTAAATCTGTTGGAAGTAGGTTTTTTCAGAGTCACAAGCCGCTGTATCATCGCTCTCCATTGACCCTTATAGTAAATCTAATATTGTTTTTTCGGATTAATGAAGCTCCTACAGCAGTATCTATTTTCTATTAAGACCTTAGCAATTGTTTGTTACGTTTGAACCCGTATATGTCACTTTTAAGCTCACCTCTTTTGGCTATTGTCTATAAATCACTTTTTAAAATTTTTTTGTTCTTTTTCATTTGTGGAATGTTAAATACCTCAAATTCTAATTAAATTAAGTTATATTTAGATTTCACGGCTAATTTCTCTCAACCACCACATCCTGAATATCTGCTGCGGTATTAGAGAACCATTAATGAAACCCCCGTCGAATGTCTCTTATTGTAATCGGTGAGATGGAACAATTTATCGACGGATCAAAGTTCTTTATAGCCGCTTGAAAACCGCGATAAAACCATTTCTTCCAGGCGTTGATCTTCTATTCATAATTCAAAGTTTCTGTGGGATGCAAGCATAATTATTCAATGCGGAACACTTGATTTGGAGCACCTCTACGGAAGCAGAATGATTATGCACAATGACATTAATAATCTTCACGTTTGTTGATAATTCACACATGTTGCACATGCGCATTAAACTTGACAACAAATGCGGTCAATTCGTGATTGAGAAAAGGTGTACTTCAGTTCCAGTGCTGTGCTGATCTCTGCAAGCGTCTACAAGCGTGTGAATTCAAGAATTTTTTACGAAAGCACCGTACGAAACTGAAATATGGGGCGTTTTTGAGGAGTGTCGCGCAAGTTACGTTCATTTTCGCACGTTCCTGCGGCTATGGATGCGGTACAGCTGAATGAACTACTGGAGTGTTCTGTGTGTCTAGAACAGCTGGATCAAAGCTGCAAAGTATTGCCATGTCAACACACGGTACATAGACGATGTCTGAAAGACATTGCGGAGACAAGGAAAGAGTTGAGATGCCCAGAGTGCAGGATTGTCGTCGCAGAAGATATTGACGAGTTGCCGGCAAATATTTTTGTGATTCGACTCTTGGAAGAGTTTAACAAGACGCGACGGAAATCGTGCGACAGTTTGGATTTAAACGAAAAGCTCTCTGATCAGGTGAGGTGCATTGATATTCAAGAGAATGATGATCTGTTTCTGGTAGAATTTAGGTGTAAAAAGAAATGTGTGATGTATAAACGATAATTAAAAGTGCGTGATTTCATCTGCATCCGTCCTTTTGTTGTAGAGTATGTGGTACATGCATGGCCAGCTAGATTAGAAAAGCCTCCCTGTTGTGCCCTGATGTAGGAGTTTCTGTGGTTAGCAAAATTACTACAAACAACTTTCATGTACTACGTCTTGTTCTGGTATCTTCTTTGCCACTAATCAGTCAAATGATTCTAGGACATTCTACTCTAAGGATGTTGTTTATGTCGCGGTACTGCCCTCCATCGTTTTACGATTTTGAAATTTAATGCTTTTCACATATCATGGAGATAATGTGTACATATTTTAACCACAAGTGAATGGAAATTAAAACGTTCTTCGGGTAAATCACCGCTGAAAGGGCTTTTTCCCTTCCTCTAATACAATTTCACTTAATTACTTGAGCTCAATTATTTGTAACATGCTTTAGATGTTTAGTTTGCTACTTCAATTTATTCAAGGCAAACAGCTGTGTCATGTTGTATTGCTCGTTTGTCTGAGACCGACATTGCTTTCGTAATTTTCCATTTGAAGACATTTGTTAAGTTACTTTCAACGCTTGGACAAAGGAAATATTTTGTTTCGTTTGTCAATGCCGAAACGGAAACGAGGAGCTAACAAGGAGCGGGCATATATCCTGTTTTCTTACGATCAATTCCTTCCGAAGAAACATAGCCTCTCAGCTCCTTGTTACTTAATGGGCTTAAGCAAGGGTTAAGCAAGAGATTAAATCGAATTAGGCACATGTTGATATTTTATTTTGGCTGGAAAAATTACAAAGTTATTACACTTTCAGTCAGTAAAAATTATTGAGCGACTATGCGAAGTGCAAAAAAAGAAATTATTGAAGCTCTGTTTTATATAAACCGTTGCTCCTTTATTCTAGTGTTTTTATTCATATGTCGTCGACTTGGACGTGATATGCAGTGTCACGTTTCGTTAACGTTTCCTCATAATCAAACTTGCAAATGTTGTGTAATTTTGATAGATGTCACCTCACGTGCTTTGAAGAATTCACCATCTGTAACACGCTGTGATGTTTTTGTCATGTGACTCGTTAAATGGGTGATATATCATAGGCACGTTTTGTTTCCATGGGTAACTTCTATTCAGCCATTCAGGATGTTACCTTTTCACATGATGTTTCAAAACAACAAAACACTCAATTAGTAGTTCTTGCCTGATTGATCAAGCAAACTCATGGCAGTTTTCATTCCCTACAAGTGCTGCAAACAATCAACCATTGTATTTCTTTGTGAATCTCGTCACACCTTTTGAATAAGTTGTCCCTCCATTTCTTCCAAATTGATGTGAAAGTATGTTACTATAATAAGACAGTGGCTTGGTAACATGGACTTGAATTTCAAAGCTTCCTGTATTTAGGATTTCACAAGATGATAAGCAAGACAGGCCATTTACTAGTTATCTCAATTTTATCTCCTGAATATGACAAGTTCTACAAGCTTAAACTAGCTTAGATCTGCTTCATGGGAGCTAATTTCTAAACTACGGGCAATATCTCTTTTGCAATTCATATTTACGAAGGTGCTTGAGTGATGTTTCTTAATGTATGACTAAGAGATAACTGTCATGGTGTCAGATATATTTATAGTACAAAAATGCCGCCTGTGGTTTCAACAATTACAATGACTTAAGATCTTTATTTAAAGCCATTTAATATATCTGTTTCAGCCTTAGGGTAAATACAGCTCTGCAATTCAATCTACATGACTTGTTTTGAATTACTTTACTTTCCCTTTGGCAAATGAAAGATTTGAACTGGTTTTTTTCATTTTCTAGGCTCAAAGTTAGTTAGATGTAATACTTTCTAACAACCAATACATGCCTGACTGATGTGTTGAGCAATGAATTTGAGCCAAGATATTTTAAGGGAAAAATATTGTTAATTTTGCAGCCAAGTATGTAATGATTGAAGAAGACTCTTCTTCACCTGTGGGATTGGTTCGTGTAAAAACTGTATTTATTGCTTCAAAATGCAAAAAAATGTGACTGCTTGCAAATAATAATGGAGCAAATTATTAATGTTTTTCCCTCTGTGCAGTTACTGAGACCACAAAATTGTGGTGGAGATAATGAGTTTTTTGTGGTTTTTTTGAAACAAAGCACTCTGTTGTGATGTGAGATCTTTTGCCACACTCAATGTCAATTACTGAGTTATTTAGAAATGCATTTACTTGAAGACTCTTGCAGTTTGTAATGAAAGGCCATTGTTTTCCAACAGTAAAGTTGCGGTTCTTTATTTGTTTTTCGATTCCTGTTTATCATTTTAAGTTGTCTGTTACTGTGTTATTTACCAGAATGAAAGGTAACATGAATTTTTCTTACAGAGTTATTCAATAGACGCTTTTTTCTTGAAGTAATCAAATGACAGTAGCAGTGTGTTGATCATCACAAGATCACAATCAGACAGATACATGTATACATTCCAGTTTTTCTCTAGTAAAAGTGGTTCTACGTGAATTCTTTGACTCAATCCTAAACTTTAGGACTGCCTGTGATCACACTTTCCTAGTTGTCAACTACAATCAGGAAATTTTTGTTATGGTACGAAGCTGGTAAAAGTTTTAAAGTTTTTCCATAAGATAAAAGCACAAAATTTTCTCTTTAATCAATAATGTTTCTTTCATAGATCTTTTGTGTAGGTATTAAATTTTAGTAGTTAATATTTTTGTGTCACATTACTTTTATGTCTATGATTTGGCCATTGTTTACTTTTTTTGTATGGTATTTTTGCTCCAAAAAGCTCAGACACAACTTATCACTGTTGAAGTGTGTTTTCTACCACATACTGAGTGATAAATGTGTTGTCAGCAGGAAGTCCCACATCAAAACATTCTTTCAACATGCAAGACCTCCCCTGAACATAGACACAAATAAACTTAATAATTGCCTACAACTGTAGGTTGCCTATACCTCTCTGTGTGTCACTGGCTGAGCATCTGAGCACAAAATCCAAATGTCTGAGGCTTAATTCCTTGTGGGAGAATGATCTTTTTCTTTTTCCCATGCTTTTGACAAATTAAAGAATGTCTTCTTTCCTTATGTGAGCCACTCATGTAATTATGGATTATAGCCGGATCCATGCATTCAGTTTTTAAAATGGAGCACTTTAGCCAGCAGTGCAATCGTAGCAGCTTAGCTAAATCAAAGTGACGCTATGGTGAACTCATGCAGGGATATACTGTGCAGAATATAATTGTATATTTCATTTAAGCAAAAATTATGAACTTGATATTTTATTCCTACTTCTTGAGCAGAGAATCATAATGCAGTAGTTATCCTGATAAATGGTCTTTTCTGTGTTACATGTCCAGCACAGAATTAGCCATCATCTCCAGGAAAGTCCTGTCCAATAATGCATGCTCTCCCCAGACTCCTGAGGTTGTGCTAAGGCCACTGAATTTGCATCTGGAATCACCATATTTCTTGCTCTTTTATATACTCCTCGTGACCCAACCTTCATGTAGATTCTCTTGTGTTTTTGCTCCAATGCAAACATCATAGGCATCACTATTGCCTTTTTCTAATCAGTGAATGTACGTAATTAGGGAGATTATTACTTTAGGGCTTTGTACATGGGCTTATCAGCATTCATTTTTAAAACAAAGTATTTTTTTAACCAATATACATTTATATGCATGTGTTCCTTATTGACTCCACCTTGAAGTTTCTGTATTGTTTTGTTGAAGGTTACTCCATGTGCGAGAGCTTTGTATGATTATGAACCTCAAGAAGCTGGGTATGTTGCAAAAGACTGATGAATTTCCTGCCTGTTACTCAACATTTCCATGTATCTACAAGTCACTAGCTGTTATTTTCAAATATTTTGCTTCACCTTTTCTTTTAAATGCAGTGATCTAACTTTGCATAAAGGAGAGATAATAACGCTGCTGAAACAAGTTGATGAAAACTGGTATGAAGGTTTTACAAATGGCTGTCAGGGATTCCTTCCAGCAAATTATGTTGAGGTAATGTCAATAATGAATACATCCACTTTCAAAAGTGGTAATATTATTGGTAGCTTGTTTTCTGTGTACAATTTTTTGGTACATGTACATGGGAGGCAATTAATTGAAATTGAGTACAGAATATAATGTTAAAATGTATCTAAGACAGATGATACTAATAACAGTTTTGTTACCATATCTTCTTTTTTCATAGTTATGGTCTTTAATAACTGAAAGAGTCCACATTAATGTAACAGAGATTTAGATACTTTCTTAAGTTGAAAAGGGGGGTTCTGTTGATCTTAAAAAACTAGGCAGAGATGAGAGGGAGGGGATCTAAAGTCATAATAATAACAATAACAATAATAATAATAATAATAATAATAATAATAATAAAAACAATATTTACAGAGGATATCACCAGCTAACACTAAGTTAATTAGGGTGGTCCTCTATCTGCATTACTAAAATTTCCCAAGACTTAAAGACTGATCAAAGATTAAAAATTTAAAATTACAGGAAGAATATGTTATTTTCAAACAGTTCCAGCTACATATTTTTTAAACTGTTCTAGGCTATATTCTCACTTACTCAGAAGGGGGGGAGGGTTGGTGTCAATATTCTTTATGGATTATCCCATTGACCTTCTCTTGTGTCCATCCCTGTCCCAGGTCATCAATCCATTACCAAGCCTTGATGATTCTTGTGACAAACCCATTGCTAAAGCATTATTTGACTTTGAAGATGAACAGGAACAAGATTTACTCTCATTTAAACAGGTACTGTGGGCCGGGGTAATTATGGGTGGTTTATTTCCTCTGTGGGTGAGACCGATAAGTTGAACATCTCAGTTCATTTAAGTGATGTGTAGTATTTTATTTTTAGATTTTCATGGTAACTATTGATAGCTGATCATCACCTCAAAGCTCTGCTTGAAAATTTGACCCTTCATGCAATTTATTAGATATGATGAATATATGAAGTTCATATATTTTGAACAGCGGTTATAGATACGTATGATGCACGATCCTCGCAGCACAGAGCGCTATTTTTGCAATAGTGAAAATCAGACCCTTTTTTTTTTTTTTTTTTTTTAGGTCTGATTTTCGCTATTGCAAAAATAGCACTCTCTACTGTGAGGATTGTGCATCGTACATGCAATTTATTGTTGTTACGTTGTCTACATGCAGTAACTTCCAACTCCCAGAGCATCAGCTGTGATCACACTGTAAAAGCAAAGAAGTCAAATCTGATAGCATTTTCTTGATTTTTGCTCATTGTTCTCATCTTAATTGATTCACAGTCTTATGCATATGATATTATAAAAGTTTAATATGGCAGTTATTACTGAGTGCATTTTCCATGTGGAATCTGAATTGTTACTTTTTTCCTCTGTTTAAGGGTGATATTATCAATGTTATACGCCAAGTAGATGAAAATTGGTGTGAAGGAAAACTTAGGGGAAAGCTTGGGATTTTCCCAGTAACATTTGTAGAGGTGAGAATGATGGCACATATCATGAATGAAAATGGAATTGAAAGTCCTGTGAATAGGTTAGTCATCAAATATGCAGGAACCACCTCTGCACCCTAGTGGAACAGTGATACTCCCTGTCATATCATGATATGCAAACATGTTTTAACTCTGGGGGAATGGCCCTGTAGGCAAAAGTATGAAATGAGTCAATACTCAAGCCTAGAGGCCCATCCAGTTGGAGCTTATCCCATTATCTGTGGCTCAAGTGGATCTGCAGTGTTGCAGATCTCCGCACCCTGGATGGAATGTTAGTCCATCCCAGGCTAGCCTCTGTCCCCTCCCCTGCATTTTAGTAGACTTTCCTAACAGTTTACCAGTACCATTTCATACTCCTGGAAAGGGAGAGGCAGTATGGGAGTGAAGTGTCTTACCCAAGAACACAGCATAATGTTCCAGTTAGGGTTCAGACCCAGACCTCTATTCCTAGCCAGGTCTCAAACCCAGACCTCTCTTATCCAATGTTCAGTAACCAAATCTTTGGCCACAGCATCACCCACTCTTATAAGGCAGAGACTGAGTGTACAAGATTTTGCTTCATACCATCTTTAAAGATAATTACTTACAAAGAACCTATAGCTAACGTATTTCACGTGTTGTTAGCTTAACGTGGCGGCACGGAATCTGATAGAGGCTGCTGAAAACGGGTCGGATCAAGCGTCATCAGGAGGAAGGACGTCTCAAGTGGAGCCTAAGAGGCATACCATGCATTTTGTTGGACAGCGGAGTGAGGAAGGTCAATCAGTTGGTCTCCAGAGGCGCTCACTTGACATCTCATCTTCAGAAAGGCTGACAGAAGAAATGAACAGTTCATCGTCAACAGGATCAATCAATTCACCGCCTAACAGACATGTAATGTGACCATTATTAACCCTCTCCCTCCCTCTCTGCTTAGAAGCCTTCCTCCTTCCCCACCGCCTAGAAGCTTTTCCCTTTCTCCCTCCTATAAGCCCCCTTTTTCCTTCCTATGAGCTCCCCTTTCCCCTTCCATGAGTCCCCTTTACCCTTCGTATGAGCACCCTTAGCCTCCTTTCCCCCTCCTGTGAGCCCCCTTTTCCTCTTCCATGAGTCCCCTTTACCCTTCAAATGAGCACCCTTTTCCCCCTTTTAGAACCTCCGTTCCCCCTCCTATGAGCGCCGTTTTCCCCTCCTATGAGCGCCGTTTTCCCCTTCCATGAGTCCCCTTTACCCTTCCTATGAGCACCTTTTTCCCCTTTTAGAGCCCCCTTTCCCCCTCTTGTGAGCCTCCCTTCACCCCTTATTGTGAGCCTCCCTTGGACATAACCTCCCTTCTTTCAGTCAAGTTGGTGATTTACTCGTACTCAGAACCTACGGAACATAGGACAAAACAATCTAACTAGTCTTGATCAATTTTTACCTGATTTCATTCTAAACTACAAGTCATAAATTAATCCACAGTTTACAGTCCATGTCTTGAGGAGTTCGGTGTCAATTCCCCTACTCTACCTTTGGTGGCTTTTTAACTGTTGATTTTTTTTAAATTATTTTTTCCCAGAACACACCAAGGTCATCTGGAAGCAGCCCTGACACATCACAGTCACCCCACTCAAGGCGGGGAACATCACCTTCCTCTTTCAGTCCAGGTCGTGTAGGCACAGGAAGGCAAAGTTCGCCCATGGAATCAGGGGGGTCACGACCTGTGTCAGCTGAACTCGGGAGGGAATTGTAAGTATAGCCATTGTTGAAGGAGGTGACTGTTGAGGAAACCCCACAGATTTCTTTGTTATATTTTCGTTTGGTTTCATGGACCTGACCCTAACCCTGCGAGAGACGGGGCCTACGGTTTATTCGTCCTTATCCGAGAAGACTAGAATATCTATCCATTTCTTGATATTATAGAAAGGTAGCAAATTCTCCTCAGTTATTTTAAGRCCATGAGTATTGGTCCGGCCGGGGCTCGAACCCTCGACCAATCCGGCGCTCTAACCAATTGAGCTAACCGGGAGGCTGTTAGCCCAATTGGTTTTTCGATAAGTTTTCCCATGAGTTTTCGTTTTGTATTTCTTTTCAATAGATACGTGGCTCTATACACGTACAAACCTACAAAAGACGACGAGCTTGAACTAGTGAAGAACGAAAATTACTGCGTGACCGACAAGTGCAAAGATGGTTGGTTCAAAGGATATTCAGTATCCACTCAGAAGCGAGGAGTATTTCCTGGAAATTATGTTCGACTAGCAAGGTGAGTTATCTGTTTTCAGCCAATTCTTTGGAGTATTAGGCTTTACTTTGGTTAGGTTCGTCACCGCAACGCGATTATCATTGTTCGGATATTGATTCCTACTTCCAGGATTGCAATTAAACCACGGACCTTGGCCTACTGTCAAGCTTCTTAGAAAAATAGATTCGAAAAGGAAGGAAATTAAGCTTTCTTCGTGGTCTGGTTTGTATCGTTCAGTTTTCTGTTCTTTTTTAAAGCTCACGTCAAAAATTAATATCGTGGGTTAGACGTAGGTTTCCAACTGGGGTAGTAGTGTCGAGAAGATGGGGTAACCGAAAAGGTTTCAGAAGTTTCTGTCTCTGAGGGCTGTTGTTTTGCTCGCACAATTAGAGGTCATTCACCTATAACAATGGGTGAATTGACTTTTTTTCCGGACGAAACACCCTTGATCCGTTGTGGAAATTACGAGTTTGGTTTGTGCATGATACTCAGATTCGGTTCTCATTTAAAGATGACGAGGAAAACAGTCGTATGCTTAAAATCTGGGCTTTATACTGCAGTTTAGCCCTTGTTATCTTGCAATGCTGAGAAACAGAGTGTTAGCATTGCCGACAACAAAATGACTGATAAACATTTTCTTTCGTCTGCAGTATTCACAATTTACTAACAAGATCAAGAAGCAATAGTACAGATGCGGATGATGATAACTGTACAAATTCTGTTCTTCCTACCAACTCCCAAACCAAAGTTCCACCTCATCAAAGGTCGCCTCCCCCAAGACACACAGCATCTGAGGGGGGATCCCAGACGAGATTTCATAGGTCAGAGTCTGCCCCACCCCTACCCCAATGGTCACAGCCAGTTATGCCGGTCGAGAGCCTTGTTGTTAACTTAAATCAAGGACGGAGCCTTGCAAGCAACAGAAATCCTAATTATGGAACATCTGAGAGGAGTCGATTTGTACCCACGGCACCACTCCCTCCGCCGCCCGCACCTAAATCGGTACGTTGGATTCAAAATCGTCCCTCCTTTATTTCGACGTGTTGTTTTTGGGTATTTATAACAGAATAAAGGAAATTTGTTGTCGGGACGTCTAACGACTTGAGTAGTTTTAAACCGTTCTTTGCTTTTTTTGCAAAGTTGATGCATTTTTTGACAATCTTTTTCACTTTTGTTTTCCAGAGTAGTTTTTGGAAAAAGCTGACAGGCAAGAAGAAGGACAGGACAACACTGAACCGACCCCCACCCCCTCCTCCCCCATATCAAAGGTATTTTACTGAGAGCTTTGACTTTCAGCTACTACGCTTGCACAAGGATTTTAGATCGTTCTTGATAGGGCGTGGTGAAACAAAAACCAATCAGAACAAAAATCAATATCGAAGAGTTCATGGGAACTCTAAGATCATAACTACCTACCTACCTACCTACCTACCTACCTACCTATCTACATCACCTTTATTTCACCTCGGATTTACAAGAGTTGCTATATAGCTAATTTCTCCGAGAAAGAGAAAGAAAATTAAGAAATAAATTAATAAATAAGTAAATAAAATAAATGAAAACAAATAGTGTCGTATATTATATACAGTACATTACACTACTATTTACATAAGTAACAATTACATTTTTGTTCTAAGGAAATTTAATGTTCGAAAGAAATTTGACATATTTTAGATCTGTGCACTATCAAAAGCTCGGGAAAACTCGAGTTTCCAAGTCGCAGTTGATATGCTTTCGTTTTTGATTGGTTGAGAAAATGGCGTGAGTTTTTTTTTTTTTTTCTTAACCAATCATGGAGCGGAGCTGAGCAAAACCAGTACGATACCGTATTACTTTCGACACTTAGTGGTAAGTTTCTCTGAACTCCAAAGTATTTCATCTGTTTCAGGAATGTTCCTACCGGTCACAGTGCATTATCTCCGCCACCTTATGACTTTGGAGGTCTTACAACGTCTCCATCTTGCACACAGATTGCTGATTATTGTGCTTGTGCTCAACTAATCCTATCCCAAGTGAATATTTTTTATTGTGGAGAACTTTCTTATTTCATCCCTCATCCCTTTTCATGTTTATCTATAGGCTCAGCGTTCAAGAGAGAGAGTTGAAAACCCGCCTGTTCGTGAAAGGTTAGGACAGAATGAATTCATCCAACCCAGAGAGTAAATTATTGTAAAACGTTTTGATGGTGCTGTTTGATAACATATTTGACAATAGAGTTGCTGTGATGTGAGTCACCAATACATCAGTTTTAAATATACATGTATGTTGTTTACCAGTCTAGGTTGGTCCTTATAGGAAAAATACTGTTCTCAAGACCAAGGAACAGTCTTTTTCCCAAACGAACTGACCCAAACCCTTGAAACAACTTACGTGTATTTATATTTTTCTGCTCTTTGTTTGCCATTTTCTGTTTTATTGCAAATGGGTCATAAAATATTCGGACCTTGGTTTGTTTTCTAAAAAGTGGGACCAGCTGCGAGTGCGCGATTGCCCAATCAGATACGAAGATTGAAGATTCAGACAAGCCGAAATGCTTCAGAAGAAAATTTGAAGTGTTGTTTACTGTTTCATCCACAGATACCGTGTTATTGTGGCTTATCCACCTCAACACGAAGCTGAGCTCGAGTTACGGGTTGGGGACATTGTTTACGTGACCAAAAAACGTCAAGATGGCTGGTATAAAGGAACTCTTGAACGAAATGGCAAAACTGGCTTGTTTCCTGGTAGTTTTGTCGACAGCTTTTGACGTGAAACTGCGTGGAGTTTTGTAGAATTATCAAGAAATTATTTATCAGTATCTTTGCTTGAAGTCAAACAAGAGAAGTGATCAGACACCGTTTTTACGTTGTGTTGGGAACAATTCATGGCAAGTACTGTGCAGTCAAAATGATGCGAAATAAATTCAGAGATTTCTGGGTAACGGCGGTTTTTTACCTGGTGCTCACGGTTGAGTTTTTTTAAATGGAAAGATGTTAGGGTTTTGTACCAAGTATACATGAAACGTTGAATTCCCAACTTTTTATGAAATGTTTTGTTGTCCCCCGTATGAACTAGAATAAAAAATCTGTTGTCGCCAATAAGTCCATTGATGCTTTTGTACACTGTTTATAGAAATGCAGTTCGTTCGCTGTAAAACAAAGCTAAACACAAGGTGTATTGTCATGTACATAAGATGCTGGTATGCTGCTCAAATTGACAGATAATTTCTAAACTCAAGTAAAGCAAAGGTATAAATCATAAGAATTTTAAGATATACAGGTGTATATTACACTTCGCAATGTGTGGGTGTTATGTTTTAACACGAAAAATTGACTTGAATTTGAATTAAAACAAAATTATTTGTTACTCAGTGTTGTGAAATTTGATTCTGGGCTGGTTTTTATCCGCAAAGGCTAGTAGAGTTCATTGACCTGTAACTAGCCTGCAGAGCAGGCGTTCTAGTAAAGTTTGGGCGAAAATTGGACAGCGCGAAAAATGGAGCGAGGCGAAAAATTAGGAGGTGGGGGGAGGGGGAGAGGAGAGAAGGGAACGCCTGCCAGCACTTATTAATGTTTTCAAATACGCCTCCAGATTAATTATGCATTCCGAAATTTGAGCTTCGAGAAAACAAACAATCACGGAACGGCATATTTCCAGCGGAAGTAAAGGTTAACACACGTGGAACGATGTTAAATACAAATAATAACACGAGCGCTCATGGAAGTAGCCTGCGTAGCGGCCCTCTGGAGCCTGGCTCCAAAGGGCCGCTACGCAGGATACCATGGAAGCAAAGGCGAACGATTATTGTAGATTTTGTAATTGTTGTTTTCGAGTTAAATTCGGAAAACCAGGGACAGGAAAGTCTTCTTTCCTATCTTTCGAAAATATATTCAAGCCATTGAAAAGACAAGACTCGACTGGAATCGTTCTTACGGATATTTATAAGCAAGTTGGTCTTAAGATTACGAAGAACATCAACTGTTCAGAACGATGCTGCAACCTGTGTGCACGCACAGTTATAAATTTAGGACAACTTTACAGCTTTATAAAGAGTAAAACAATCCAGATTTCAACTCCATCTAAGCGTGTAAAGGAAGGGGGAAAAGACCATTAGCGAGCCCTTCTTGGCGAAGATCGAAAGCTGCCAAACTAAAAAGTCCTTCGCGCGGTCATGCCAGGACCCAACAGCAATTCGAACTGCGAGAGCTCTGCTTCTCCCATTGCAATTTGGCTTAATGCTCCTGCTTTGAGGCCCAAAGAATTCTCTTTAGATACTTGGTCCCCTAGAATACTTTTCAAAGGACGAAAAACGATTACAGTACAGTTTTTCTTCAGCATCTCCTTCCTCACAGCTACGAGCAGTTGGAATCATAGTTAACTATGTTGGAATATAAGGATTTTACGAAAGCCAGTCGGCAAAACAGCTAGTAAATCGCCCCCATAGACAAGTTACCCCAAACTGTGTAGTTGCTGAAGTTTGAGATCAAATCGAAATTCAGTAAACGACTCCTGATAAATCTAAAGAAATGTTTAGCGCCCTCGTGAAGTCTCATTTTAAAAGTGCTACAATGGTTCTGTAATGTAGCGAGATTGATGTCTATCACTCAGACTAAACATGAAAAGCTTGGCGTTCGTTCGTCCGCGGACGAGTGTTGAAAATAACAATAAGTGCTGGGAGGGGTTCCCTTCTCTCCTCTCCCTCTCCCCCTCCCCCCACCACCTAATTTTTCGCCTCGCTCCATTTTTCGCGCGGTCAAATTTTCGCCCAAACTTTACTAGAACGCCTGCTCTGCAGACTAACCGGTTAACTCCCAGATCTGACTGTTAATTTTCCCCTCTAGCTGCAATAGATTTCCTGGTAAATTAGTTACGAGAAATTGGCATAAGTTCAATTTGTCAACCTCTACCTGCTGAGTTTGAGTAGTCGTCTTCTGTAGGAAGAAGTTAAATGTTCGGTTAATCGTATCTGTTCTTGTAATTAAAGGGTTAAAATACACTACACCTCTGCACGTAGCGATTATGGTAATTTTGAAGATGGCGCTTGAGTAAAGCCCAGATAAAGAAATCACCTCCTTTCCTTCCGTGATTGACTTGAAAAATGAAAACTCGAATTTACATTTACAATTTTTTTTTTCATGGTCACTTTCTTGAATAAACCGCATCCTTCGTTTGAAGGAGAGTTTTATTTGCTTTTATCAGCAAACTCGGTCAAGGAAACGTTCTTACAGCCAATCAGGTTGGCTCTTGAGTTGTATGTGTTCTGATGTATATTATATATATATATATATAGGATATTTTCTTTTTCAGTGCGTTTCTATCTCCTTTGAACTTATCTAGTTCTGGAAAAAAGTGAAAGGAAGAAATCAACTTTAGACGGCGTACTATCGTATCAGTCACTCAATTTATATTTATCCTTTTTCAATTTAAATTATCCCCTATATCGATCAAATAAAATACCAGGCTACTCATTGAAAAGCGTACTGCGCCGACTGAACGACAAGCTTAATAACCAATACATTAGCTGTACTGCCTTTTCCATTTTGCTCTTAACACTTGTACTGACAAATTGATCTCTCCCTAATCGCCCAACTCTGATAGCTATTGGACGATGATAAAAGTTCCGAAGTCGGAAACACTTGCGCTTAGAGGAAATATTTAGGTTTTTCTTTTCCCATATTTAAATATTTTTCACTTCGCCACTTTTTTAAAACACCTTGGATCGCGATTCAGTGATCGTCTGTTTCAAAGATCTTCCAAGTGACAAGAAACGACAGCTTCATTATTCCGGAAAAGATAATATTTTCTGGAGAGGTTTCATGTTCACAGCTTGCGTTGCAATCGATTCTTCATGATTGATGGCGAACCATTAATTCCACAGTCTAAAGAGAATAACGTTAATAATAGATAAATTCTGTCAAATGAAAGAAAAATGCGTTTCGGAGTGATAACCGCGATGGTTAATAGGTAAAAATATCCCAAAAAACAAATTCTAATTTTCCGACTGGTTTGACTTGTTCTGTCCGCTCAGCGACATCTTTGCTTATATATTCCCGGTAGCTTTTAAAAGAACTAACCGGCACTGAAGGTCAGAAAATTTCGGCTAAGCTTTTGTCAGCGTAGTTTACATCTATGTTAATTTAACCATGATAAATTGTTCTACGCGAGGCCATATATTAATAGTGCGACGCCAAAGTTTTATTCCGAGTTACTTTTCTGTTTATGAATCTCAATTACCAGTGGACAATGAATATTCTGAATCTAAATTGGAAGCAGCTGAATCTGAGACGCGAAGCTCAAGATTTTACCTCTTGTACTCGCGAAGTTCTGCATGTGAAAGCGAATATTTTACCTTTCCGCCCAGAGCTGCCAGTGACAATGCTATGGATTCAGCGACTCACACAACCAGATTACTAAGCTCAGCACCGGCTAAAAGATTTTCTTGCAATGTCAGTAAAATGGCGTATCCTATGAGAAATCGAATGGTATGCGATGGTTATTTTGGATGCCCAGACGAATATATCACTTCGGATAAAGGAAACGGTGAGATATTTGAAGATTTTTTCTATGTACATAAATGAACTTGAAGTATGTCGTTGTGACCCCTGCGATTAAGCTAAGAACGAAAAAGATGATTTAAAATTGATTTCTTGCCTGTGTCAAAATTGCTCTTATAATATATTATTCATTTCCGATTGTCTGAAAATCTTTTCTCTTAAGAAATTGTTGAATTGATGATCAATATTATCCAGGCTGATAGAAAAATACTCGGCCATATATCCTTCACGTTTGAGTCGAGGATTAAATAGATTCGGGTGGTTTATTGCAAAAGAACACGAGAAAAGCCAGCAGAATTTTTTTCTTTATTCCCGATATCGATCCTGCTGTTTTAAGTTCAAATCAAAACAAACCACCTTGAATTCATGCTAAGAAAAAGTTGGTTTTGCTCGGAGTTGACTAATTAAACACATCTTTCCTCACAGAGTTTACATTTTCATTCAAGAGAGCTACATATCTAGTGAGAATGCATTTTTGACAGCAAGGGTTTACGTACATATTTTCAATTGGTAATCTTTTGTATTCGGTGGTTTATTTTTTTACTTTTTTCTGGAGAAGTGGTAGCCTTGAAACACTGTAGGAGGTAACGGTCTCCAGGTACGATGATAAATCATAACCTCAATTAAACAAACAGCAATTAAACCTGCAAGCGAACCGACTCAGTTGCATTTCCTCTGTACAATATTTACACAATTTAAAGGTTATCAGCAGCTCTAGCGGCGCTGTTTTTGAAGAATCGTACGTGTTCGTAATAGGTTATGTCGACTTGATTATAGAGGTTTTGCACAGCAGCCATGTTGGATGGCAG